ATGGTCATGCTATCTATTGACATCAACCAAGCAAATGGTTCCACCCTAGAAGGAACTGGATTTTCCCACACTGCTTTGATATGGAATTGCTCAACCTGGTTTCTTACAAGTGCATTCTTTCCACCACTTAATTTCAGTCAAGCAAGGATCCATTTCAGTCTATTCCATCCTGTTTGAGAGATTAGTACATTCTCCTGATTTTCTATTCAGAATGTAGGAAAGTAAACTAGTCCCCACCCTCCTTTCAAAATGTTATTGAGGATAGAGATCACAGTATTTTCATTATCCAATCTACACCATTCCTCCTCCCAAAATCTCATTCTAGTTTCCTTTCCTACTTTGTGTAACTAGGAAACTTCATGACCACTTTCCACATACAAATGCCATATGTTGATGAAGTCATCATAGAGTCCCACCCAAATTTTATAACCCCATATTACATACCACTACTCCATAATGCATCATTATCTACCCCAAACCTCTTCAACCATTTACCTTAATTGAGTTTTGGCAGGCTATTACTCATGCAATAATGTGGGAGTTGTGGGAAGGAAGGAAGAAAAGAACCTTTGAAGATATAATGAGGTTTCTTGAGGATTTACTTGTGCGTGTACTGCATATACTCTTGGGTTACCACTTCAGAAACTTTTTGGGGTGTACCGTTTATTCATTCTTACCTAAATAGAAACATTATTGATATCCTACATTCTTCTCCTGTGGTTTTGGTATTAGGATCTGCCATAGCACAGCAAATGGAGTGTCAAGTTAGACTTCAGTTTGATGGGAATTCCTTTGGGAACCCTAGCCCTGGTGACATGGGAGTCTTCTACAATGTGGATTGGAAAAGTGGGTGTTGATTTGGGTTGGAGAAGGAAGGAGTCTATTGAGGTTTGGAGTATTGTTGTTTCGGTGGCTCAAAAGAAGTCCAAAGCTTCAAACAAAACCCACATCATGCATGTTACTAACCAGTGATTTAGAAGGCATGCCTGAGGCGCGCCTAGGCACACAGGTGAGGTGCATTTTAGGGTATGCACCTCGCCTAGGTCCTAGGCGCAGCCCTTTCAAAAGGCGCATGCCTGGTGCGCCTAGGTGTGCGCCCGATGCGCCTTGTGCCTCAGCCCAGGCGTGTGCCTTTTGAAAATTTGATGCTTTTTTTCTCCAAGAACCCCCTATTTGCTAATGTTGTTCATTCATTCATCTTAATAAAATATTTTCTTAAAAAGCAATTAAAATTATAAATTCATTATTTTTTGTGTGAGAAAGTTGAATTGAACACCTAACATGGACTTGTTTGGGCTTGCCTTGAGGGATGTGGCACAAAGGCAGCTCATTGAATCAGGAATGTAATATGTTTTACATTACATTAGCTACTTGAAGTAATGCAATTGAGTGAAACAAGAGATTAAAGGTTTTACATGCTTGAAAATGTTTTATATGTTTGATTTTTTTTTTAAGTTCTCATTTGAATATGCTTTACATCTTATGTTTATGTATTTTAATTTTAGACAATAGGTTTTTTAAAAAAATTATTTTAATAAGTTTATATTTTTTATTAATATTATGTTCAATATTTTCTTTTTGATTTTTTTTTAATGTTCTGACTTTTTTTTTGTATTTTTGCACCTTGCTTCAAAAAGGCACGCACCTCACCTTGCGCCTTGTGCCTCAAGCGTAAATTGACCTCTATGCCTTTTTTGCACCTTGCACTTTTCAAACACTGTTACTAACCTTCTTTCAAGGTTGAGAGTGGGTTTCATTGGGGCAGGTCCTACCAATAAATACAAAAAAAAAGTACAAAAGAAAAGGGGTGAAGTTTAGAGCCCCACCTTGTGATGACCTTGCCCTACTAGGGAGAGTCAAGACTTGCAAGGTTTTGATTTGAAGAACCTGTCAGCATCCCTTCCTAGGGCGAGGGGGGGGGGTGGAGTTTTAGAGAAGGAGAGGGTGACTGGAAATGTTGATAAGGAGGATGGTGGCCCATTGCCTCTGGAAGGTGATTCGAAGGTGGTGGTTAGTTGGTTGAAGATAGAGGACTGTGGCTTGTGGAACTTTAACAATGAAAAAAAAAACAGTTCTTATGGCTGGGTAGGGACATTGAGATTCAGTACAACTGGGTGAAGAGGAGTGCCAACTCATTTGCGGATGGGTTGGCCAAGCAAGGAGTGAATAGGGAGTCTGTTTTTTGGGCTAGTTTTTAATCTTTTTCTTTGCTTTCCCTTTGTTTTCTGTTTTTGGGGAGCTAAGTTATTTTATCTCTCCCTTTGTATCCTTATTCCCTCTCTTATTTTAATTTAATGAAGTTGGTGTTATAGATAAAAAAAAAATAGAGATCTTTTCTAATGTTACAACTGATGACATTCTCAAAAATTGGAAGTGGCGGTTTCTCCTCCAAACAAGACTGTTACTAATACTTGGTCTCCACTGGAACAAGATTCGTCAAACTCAACTTTGATGGTAGTAGCATGGAAACCCAGGACTATCATCAATTGAAGGTGTATTTAGGAATGAAGAGGGGAAAATAGTTGCCTTATATTAAGGACCAGCAGGGGAGGGAGATTCTCTTAGAGCAGAGGTTTTGGCAATGATGGAAGGAGTGCAAAGGGCAAGGACTCACAATTGGTTGAAATTGACTTCACAATGAGGAAATGAAGATGTTGATTTACAATAATGAGAAGAAAAAATTCAGGTGGCTAACAAAAAGCATGGAAGTATCCTTCAGTTGGTGTAAGCGCAGTGCTAATTCCTTAGCAGATACATTAGCCAAGCAAGGGGTGGGACAAAAAGCTATTTTCTGGGCACAATTGTAAGAGGGGTTTTGTGTCGAGGAGAGAGAGATTTTTTTATCTCTCGCTGACTTTACCTTGTATTTTTTCTCATATGCCATCTTCTTAAATTAATGAAAGCTTGCAGTTATTGATAAAAAAAGATGGTGTCAAGGGGGTGCAGGATGGGGAGGAGGTTAAACAAGGAAACATGGACTTGAAGAAAATTGTTGACAAGGAGGTGGAGGTTGGTAAGTCTTTGGGTTTGTTTTTTTTTGGGAGGAGAGACTTTTTCTAGAAGAGCTTTTGAAGACTTTGAGAGAAGGAAGGAAAAGAGACTTAAGAAAACAATAGCAGGGGAAGGAGAAGAAATGTGGGATGGGGAAGGAGGCCAGGAAGAATTATCTATAAAAAAAAAAGGAGGGCAGGAAGAATTTTTCGATGGGGAAGACTGATTTGAGCTTTAGGAGAAGTTTCTGAGGTTTGGGATCTGGTGCTAGTAAGATGGGTTTCTCATTTTAGTTTTTGCTCTGTAGTTTGCTTTTTGTCTGGAAGGGTCGTTTATGTTTGTGGGGGGTGTTACCTTAACACCTGTGAAGTGGTTGTAATCAGTTTTCCTTCTCTTTAATAAATTTTTATTTTACTTAAAAAAAAAACAATGTGGATGACAGTGTTGTTTGGGCCTCAGTGAGCCATTTGATGGCAGACCAATGATTTAAAAGGCGCGCCTGAGGCACGCGTAGGTGCACAGGCGAGGCACATTTTGGGGTATGTGCCTCGCCCCCTTTCAAAAGGTGCCTAGGCATGCATCTGATGCACCTTGCGCCTCAGCCCAGGCGTGCGCCTTTTTAAAATTTTGTGCTTTTTGCTGTTTTTTAGTCTAATGGCTAGGCCGAGGGCTCTGCCCCCAGACCCCCGACCACGCCCCTCGAGGCAAGCCCGAACAAGTCTATGTCAGAGTATGAAATTCTTATTTCTCACATAAAAAATAATGATTCTATAACTTTCATTGCCTTTTAAGAAGATATTTTATTGCAATGAATGAATGAACAACATTAGCAAATAGACTTGTTCGGGCTTGCCTTGAGAGGCGTGGTACAAAGGTGATTCATAGAATCAAGAGTGCAATATGTTTTACATCACATTAGCTACTTGAAGCAATGCAATTAACAAAAAAAGAGATTTTGGGTTTTACATGCTTGAAAATGCTTTATATGTTTGCTTTTATTTTTAAATTTTCATTTGAATATGCATTACATGTTATGTTTATGTATTTTAATTTTAGATAATAGGCTTTTTAAAACATTTATTTTAAAATTTAAGTTCATATTTTTTATTAACATTATGTTTAATATTTTTTTATTTTTTTTTGGCATTTTTTGAATTTTCAGACTTTTTTTTATTTATTTTTTGTAATTCTGTGGCTTGCTTAAAAAGGCTCGTGCCTCGCCTTACACCTCAGGCACAAATTGGCCCTTGCACTTTTTTTGTGCCTTGCGCTTTTAAAACACTGGCAGACTACTAAGGCTAAAGTCTATTCTCTCCTGACTGGCCTGCACATAGCTAAACAGTGAGGTGGCTCTTCCCTAGCCATTGAAGGGGACTCAGCAAACGCTATTAGATGCCTGGGGAAGTGCGGAAGTGCCTCTTGGTGCCTGGCTCATTTTTGGAGTGAACCAAGGTAGATTGCTGACTCCACAGATGATAGTTTCAGGTGAATCCTTGGGGAGTTTAGTTGATGGACTTTTAACACAATTAGTATTATCTTTCTCAAAAAAGAAGTTGTTATTAGTGAGTCTGACAGAGCTGAAGTTTTCTTTCCATGGTCCTATCATTTTCTAAGGAGCTCTCATATGAAAATTGGTTCTGAAGGAGATTCATGGAATGCTTCACATTTGTAAATAACTAAAAGGGGGTTGGTGAAGGTCTGAAGGATGTCTTATCTTGTAAAAGAATTTGGACTTCTGCGTCCTCATGGGTGTCAAACAAGACCAGAAAATACATGTTTAGTCAAATTGAGTGTTGGAATTTATTTTCCATTTTATGTTATCATTTGTCTCTTTGTATTCTCCACTAACATTTTTAGTGAAAGAGAAACTACTGTTAATGGATAACAATAACATACCATTCCCTTCTGATTATATTTGATTTTTTAAATCATTGTTGAACAAAATAAAGTCTTTTGATAAGAAAATTGTAGTTTCCTGTGTTTTGTAGAGTCCTCACACTTCTTGTCAGGTTGTTCCAATTTTCCAGGAAGAAGAAGTTGACAGCTCATTGGAGAAGGTATATACAACCTTTAATGTGGCGGTGCAAGTGGATAGAACTGCGGATAAAGGAACTTCAGTCACAGGCATTAAAATATGACAAAGAACTTGCCGAATATGATCAAGGAAAGCAATTATATTTTGGGGAGCATGCATTAGAAGATAGTGCTATGAGAGCACTGCCATTTTCTAGACAAAGCAGAAATGAAGTCATGAAAAGGAGGAGAAGAAAGAGAAGAGAAGACACAATTGATATACCGTCATATATGTCAAGCCATGGCCTCTTCTCCTATTATGGTACAAATTGCTTTTCTGTGGTCAGCCATTTTGTTCTTTGTCCATCAATTTCTTGTTTTATCTAATTGCTTGCCTGATCTCTTTTAGAGAACAGGAAGTCTAATCCAGATGGTGCTTCTTTGGATGATGATTTTGGTAATCAAGGTAGGAAGAATTGTTGATTTTACTGCATGGAACTTTTTTTACTGCATACTTATGCAGTTTGAGACACTGCACTATGAACTTGTGCTAGGCATGGTACTACGTTATTTCTTTATCCATTTATGAAGCAAACAGTTTCAACTTAGTTCTAGTAAAATTTTCTTCTGTTGACAAAAACTGATGGATTTAATCAAAGCACAGCAACCTCATATTATAATATCACATGCATTCATGGATGATGTTCACATGTACACCATGGGGCATATTATGCTTTGTAGGTTCCATGTGGTGCCTTGAGAATCCTCAATTCAATGGCCAGTTCATTTTGCAAAATCTGCTTAATAGTGAAATAACTTATTGAAATTGTTGACTTTCAGAAATATCAGATTTCACTTTATTGTATCTTATGGCAGTGATTGCAGCAGATCAGAATATTAATGGTAATGAAGAGCTTGGTGCTAATTACGAGTGGTCATCACTTGAGTTTAATAATCCTCCGGAGCAGATCCTTTGGAAGATTGAAGTTTTGCAATCTCGAGTTATCAAGCTGAAAACTCAGCTTGACAAGGTTATGTGCAAAAATGCTGGTAAGTTCTCATCTGCTGAGAACTTAAGCCTTCTTGTGCCATCTGATGTGCCCACCAGCTCTGCACGAACTCCTAATCTTCCTCCTGGCAATGGAGACATAACACCAGTTGGAACTTTGTATACACCACCTCAACACATTTCAGAATATGATCCAGATCTCGTTATGCCTGAAAGTGCAGTTTCAAGTCATGGAGAAGCTACTCCACATCCTGATATAATTGAAAGCACAATGGGATTATTATCTGCTGCTAATGTTGCACTGGATCAACCACAGATGGGAGATTCTTGTCATAATGTAAGCATTTTTCTGTGATGATTTAGAATTAGTTTAACTTTGTATGATACTGAAGGTGAAAATTCCCCACAACTTATTTTAGTTGAAAGGCTGACCATGAAATCATGATAAGAATGATGAGTCTACACGAGACACCAGAATGCACATATAGTATTATTTATGGTCATTTTTTTCCTTGATATTTCTTGTTAATTAGCTTTGCAGTCATTGATGTTTACCCTTAGGCCCGTTCTCATCTATAATTGTTTTTATGGCTAATATTTTCACTGCAGTCTACCCAACCTCAGATACAGATCCATGTATGGAGATTTTCCTGAAAATGGAGTGTACCCTGGAGTTGATCCAAGGACTCACCCTTGATTCTACTGGTTGGAGAGGTTCTCTCAACCATGAGTATATAGAGCTTCATATTTATTTGGCTTGTTAACGAAACCTAGTTCTTAAAGTATTTTGAAATTGTGTCCTATAGATAATGGCTTCTAGTGTTAATTTTCCAGTGGTTAATGTTGGTAGAAGTTTCTGATCAAATTGTTCTTTCACCATTTAATGTCAGCAGATGGTGGATGATATTCTGATCCATAATCAGGCAGCACAGGAAGAGTTTCATAATTTTGAAAGGATTAGTGGTCAGCCCATAGAGAAGCCTCAGAAAATGATGAAAGATCAAGAGGAGATTCTTCCAGTTTCAGCAACCGAACCTGATCTAGCCCCCAAAATTGCCAAGGAGCAATCGACAGTTAATGCCTCTCCAGCCTCTGAGTTTAAAGCTCCAAAGAACAAGAGAAAACGAGGAGACCGAAAAGCTTATTCAGGTGGTTGGAGTAGGAGATCCTCAGGAAAGCAGCGTAAACATCGAGTATGAAGCTCTTATCTAGAAGTGATATGCTAAGTTGTGAAAATTATACACTAGATGAAAGATTTTCTGGAAAGTACTGGAGATTCATTGCAGAAATAATTGTAAATTGTAAGTATTCACTCCATTGTTCCTTCCCTGTAATTTCGTACAAGCCAAGGGAATGTGAAGTCATGTATCTAATCTTTCTTTATCTGTGATAACCCACTTCAAGAAAATACCCTCCTATCTTCACTTCCACCTTTGCTTGTGAAACCCGTCATTATTTATTATCTTGATGTTTTGCTGTGAGCATAGAGCACAAGAATTCTGCTCGATACATAGTCCAGAATTTCCTCCACCCATACACCAGATCCAAGGTCCAAAGATTATACTAAGAACAGTTCAACCCAATAATTCTGAGATGGGTAATACTAGGCATACCTTTCCTATGCAATTAGTAGTTCTATTTTAAGAGTGATCATTATGTCAAGATATACATAGGAAACACATGGATGCATGGACATGGCAGAAAAATTAAGATACACAGATACCTTAGAGAAATCAATATATTATAGTATATGATGCCAATGCTTGCTTTCTTTTGGTTTAGGTCATAAAGAGTTAAAATCAGAGTCTCATATCATATAAGGTTTACCTATAGCTTTGCCCTTTTGTCAGGGAAAGCTTGGCGATTTGGAAAAAAACAGCATGGGCTGTTTCAGAGCTTCATCTGTATGACACATTAGCATGGGTATGGGGTAGTAACGTAGTGTCATGGGGAGGAAGCTTTAACAGCTCGGGCTGTTTTCTCCGTACAGCCAAGCTTTTTCCCTTTTATCTTTACCTGTGCAGGTGCCCTTATACTAGTTAAAATAAAATCCAACATGCCAAAACTAAACCTAAGGTTTGAAACTTTGGATGACTATAAACAGCCAAACTCTGTTGGAGTGTTTGATTGTCTTCCTTGCCTTAATTTCAATCCGATTGCAGAGCTCTCTTTACGCGACTCTCCTGCCGCTCAGTCCATTTCATCCCTAGACCGGGCAACCACGCTGCTCATCTTGTTTGTGGTCAAGCACGTCCTGAAAATGTTTTAACAGATTTACCTGGTCCGTTTTGCCTATTTTTTAGCTGATGCTATAAATATTGATGTATTGAGCAGTTATATTGAATGAATTGATTTGTCTTTTGGCTTCCCTGAACCTCTTTTCCAATGTTCAGAGGGTTCACCTGCACTTGTGCAAGTCGGTAGAAAGAACTTGCACTGCAGCCTAGGAGAGCCTACCCTGCTCTTGTCCAATATGCATTATGAGAGTAGCTACGATCTTTCAGGTCTGTCAGGAAGGATAGAATGCAAGCACACCACTGATACAAGAAAAATAGGAAGTTGGAGAAAAAGTTATTAGGGAATTATATACAATTTCTTAATGTCTTTCTTTCAACTTTCCATTTCTCTCTTATTTTCTGATAAACCAAACAGAGCCTCATCATTATCATCCAGATCTCAATTATATTAACTCTAGGAAACCAATACAAACTATATTGATGAATAAAAATATTAATTTTACATATGTAACTCGAATTGGGCCCAACCAAGTTGCAGCCCTACTCATCGTGGTGTTACATTCCCATTTCTTCTTTATGTAAGCTCCACAAAATTTCACAAGTGCTTTCTTTCGCTCCACAAATTTCCCTAAACTTTGTGTTTCTCTCTTATTTTTTATCAAACCAAAACATAGTCTTGACGTTCAAAACTTGTATTTGGTAGAGATGATGCAGCTTGAAATGGGAACAGCATGCTTGGATAAGGTTTTACATAAAGGACCTAAACGTTTTTTTGAATCCAGAAGCCGTTCCTGCTGCACTCCTATGTGTATGACTAGCAGCGCTTATGTGAAATGCCTTACTAATGTCGTTCTATATGTTTCATGCATGGATGTCAGAGTTTGAACCTTGTCGTTCTATATGTTTCATGCCTACCCTCTTGAACCATGGCCTGACCCAATACAACCCCTGCAGGGGCATACCGGGAAGGGCCTGATACGATACGTAACAAAATTTTAAACCTTGAAATTAGAAATAAACAGAACCAAACAAATTAAGAATGAAAAAAAAAAAACGAAATTTGGATATATGCATTCCTTAAACTGGATAGTTAGTCATTTCTTTTGATTCATATGCCTGTGAATTTTCAATGTTTTCCACTTGTATAAAACTGATGCCTGCCTTCTTTCTCATATCAAATTCCTTCATGCTACTTCTTATCTCCACAGCTTTGTTCCATTTTCCTGTCAATGCATAGAAATTTGCTAACAATACATAAACCTCATGGTTCTGAGAACCCAACTTGACAAGTTGTTCTGCAATCTTCTCTCCTAAACTGATATCAGAATAAATCATGCAAGAACTAAGCAGAGTCTTGTAGGCTATAACTCTATCTTCTGTGGCCATGGCTTCAATGAACTCTTCTGCTTGGTATAACAACCCGCCTCTACTCAACAAATCTATCAGGCAGTAAAAGTGCTCAATCTTGGGTTGGATTTTATAAATCTCCACCATCCTACCAAACAAAAGGAGGCCTTCCTCAAGCAGACCTGATCGGCTGCATGCTGTCAAAGCTGCAACAAATGTAGTTTCATTTGGCTCTATACCTTCCTTTTCCATCTGCTCAAACAATCTCAGAGCTTTGTGCCCAAGCCCATAACTGGCAAACCCTGTGATCAACGCAGTCCAGGTGAAGATATCCTTGTGCTCCATCTTATAGAACGCTTTTACAGCTTCCTCCAGACTCCCACATTTGGCATACATATCAATCAGTGCAGTTCCAACAAAAACATCTATTCTTATATTCCTTTGCATGATAAATCGATGATGAACCAGCCTTCCTAATTGCAGTTCAGATAAGCTAGAGCAAGCTGAAAGCACACTCACAATAGTGGTCTCATCTGGTGTTACAAATTCTTTCTCCATTTTTTCAAAAAGTTCTAAAGCATCCTTTGGACGCTTGGCCTTAACATAACCATGTATCATCGAGTTCCATGAAATCAAATCTTTAACAGGCATCTGATCAAAGATGCAACGAGCTAAATCTATTAAACCCAACTCTGTGTAGCCATTGATCAAAATTGTATGTGACGCAACATCTCTTCTGTCCACCATTTCATGAAACAACTGAATTGCAGAATCCATGTCACAACCTTTAGCATACATACCCAATACTGCATTCTCCAATTTCAAGTTACGTCTAATGCCCAGTTTTATTAAATAACCGTGGATTGATCTTCCACACCTTGTATCTCCTACCTTTGTACAACCCGACAATACCACAGCAAGGGTGATTCCATCAACTCCAATGCCATTAACCACCATTGTCTTAAACAGAACCAAGGCTTCAAACCATGAATTTGGACTTGCACTATAACTTGATAGAACCGAATTCCAACTTGCCAAGTCTCTCTGAGGCATTAAATCAAACACAAGTCTTGCCTCTTCCATCATGGCTCCTGACCCATAAAAATGAATGAGAGAATTCTGTATATAAATATCTGACTCTAGGCCAGCCTTTATGATATGGGCATGGATTTCTCTGCCCTTTGGTAAAGAAAGTAGACGAGTGCAAGACTTGAGCAATGCAGGAAATGTGTGATTATCAGGAGAGATAGAGCATGCTCTAATGAAGTAGTTGTATATGAAGACGGCTTTGATGGGTGTTGGGCTCTTAGAATAGGCTCTAATGATACAATTCCAGGTGACAATACTGTTGATGAGACCAGTTGTAATGGATTTGGCGAAGATTTGGGCGAGTTGATCGACGCTTTGGGTTGAAACTTTGAGCGCTGAAAGGATAGCTTTCAAGTGCCTTAACATTTTCTCCTCCGTTGGAGCTGAAATTTGGCCCCAGAATTGAAGGTTCCGGATCTGCTACAAATACAAGATGGAGATGTCAGATGTGGGCCCTTCCTGGGTCCCAGCCATCTTGCCACATGGAAATTTTCTGGGTGCAATCCTTAACCCGAAGAACATGGCTTACACAAACCGGATTGAGAAATCAGGTGCTGAGGAAATCAATCTAACCCAGCTCTGTGGAGGACGGCCAAGCCAGGTGAATACTGGATTATTTGAGGTCCTAGGTAGGGGTGCCAATGGACGAAATCGGATTCGGTCCTCAGACCGTTCACACATTCCTTTGCACCCTTGTATTGGGAATATCTTTCATGAAAAAAAGCATACAAGTATAAAGATATTCTCAATGCTTGGCTGTAAACAAACTGTGAGAATGATGTGAATATGATCTTGTGAGCAACTGAATCCGATTTCTCAATGGACTGAGTTTGGGTTGGGTGGTTGGGCCTGTCCAAATAAAAACCAATTTGAAGGACAGATGAACTAACATATGTTGAACCGGGCCAGTTCAGTATCATTGGTTTAAACTTCAAAGTATTTATTGAATTGGATTGGACCTGATCTGTCCTGTCTGTAATAGATTTATATTAAATTGGGTCGGGTTGTAATATCCAGTTCATTGACAGAAGATAAGAATACGGGTCAATAGACCAGATTTGGATTGAACGACCCAGTCCAAATTAAAACCAATTTAAATAGATAGGACGGTCCAAACATTGAATTGGACCAGTCCCCATATTAGATACCCGATCTATTGACAGCTTTGAAGCTCTACTTTTACACTTGAACAAGTGTTCCTTGCTTAGCACTGAAAATTTGTCTATGCTAGAGTCCTGGTCTGAACCACAATTCCACACAAACCATGACTTTCTTGGCAAATTTTCCATCAATAGTTCTTTGTTCTTTTGGTAATTAAAGACCATCAAAAGTTCAAAATCATCCTTTGAGAGGTCTACAAAAAGCCATTAATGCACAAATAAATTCGATCTACAAAAGCAAATAATATGCAACTAGGACTGTTGATTGTGTAGCTATTCTGTATATATATATTCAAATCTCCAATTGTATGACTAGCAACTGTCATCAATGTAGAAAACCTAATACACATTCTGTTAATATTTAATCCACTCTTGAACTATGTTACGATGTATTTTGTTTATTTTTAATGGGGTGTTCTTTTTTTGGATTTTGAGTGGGGAAAAATGGTTAATGGGATTTTAGTTCCCATTGACCAAGAATCCTATGTTCATTTTTAGATTTATGTGGGGACCAGTAAAAGTTTATTTTCCTGGTGGGTAAATAATTTTTCCACCTAGGGGAAAATTGCTAACACTTGAATGGGACAAAAATGCCCATTTTAATAATGGATTTTTATGGATAAAATGGTCATTACCTTATTTACCTAGGAAATAAAAGAACATGGGTAAATGCACTTACCCGGGTAAGTGCTTCCAAGGAAAAACTTACCCAGGTAATTGTATTTACCCGAGTAAGTAATTTACCGAAAAGCAAACAGGGCCTAAGTGAAAAAACATATAGAAAGTCTGCAATAACAACTACATAAATGCTTTGTAAATTGAAAATGGTCAAATATCTTTAAAAATATGGTCGAATATGGCTTGTTGTTGCTTATGGGTAAAGAACCCTAGGTCATTAATAAATTCTGTCTATTGATCCAAAAATTTTAAGAAACGAGGCTGGTGAATCGATGGAGGTGATGGGCTATAAGGATCATGGTTTTTAAAACCGACATGGTGATCGACCTAGTCAGGGGTCCGGTTCTCGGGTTGAACGGTTCGATTGTTCGAATCGAACGCTCGGCCCGTTCTGACAAAAAAATAAAAAATTCAAAAAAATAAAAATGGTCAAAACCGTTCGAATGGTTCGAACGGTCAATTGCTCGGTTCAGCGGTTCATTAACCTTCGTTGACCAAAATCAACAGTTTTGGGAGGGAATCTGGTTTTTGGGGAAAACGGAACTGGTCACCTGTCTGATTCCCGGTTTTTCCGGTCCGACCGTCTGGTCCGATCGTCCGGTCCGGTCCGGTTTTGAAAACTACAATAAGGATTGACAGATGGGTTCTAGATTTACTACCCACAAATTGTTTTCACGAATGACAAGGGAGATATTCTCAATGTGCAGCTATAATGTCTTGTGAGTAGAGATGTGGGAACAGCTCGTGGGTATTAGATATGAGCCCCTGACAGATTGCACTTAGTAGAATGGTAGATGATTCAGAGCAACCAAGGCTCGTGATCCAAAGGTATGGTGTGGCTAACTTGATGACCCACATGCAAAGTGACACAAACTTGGGTAAACACTTTGAAATGTACTTGTGAATAGAGGTGTCATTTGGACTGGATTTGGTCCAATCTGATCCGGTTGAATATGAATCACTACAGATGGACCAGGTCCAATACAATCTGATGAATACTGCAAAACATCTTGGACCAGTCCAATTCAATGTTTAGACCATCCAATCTGTTCAAATTGGTTTCAATTTAGATTGGTTTCAATTCAAACTTGGTCCATTAACACCTATATTCTTATCTTCTATTAATGGACCAGATATTGGTTAAATCTGACCCAATCCAATATAAATCCATTATGGATGGACCAAGTCCAATCCAATCCAATAAATACTTTGGATCATTAAGTTTGGATTGATCCAATTCAATATGTCTTATTAGTCTGTCCAATCCATCCAAATTGATTTTGATTTAACTGGGTCCAACCCAAAACTGGTCCATTAACACCCCTACTTGTGAAGATAGACAGCAAGTTTGAGGTTGTGGTGCCAAGGAGGTTCCCATTGGTGTGCTTGGCTCAAGCCAAGAAAGAAAAGAAAAGGAGATGATGATGATGATTGGTCAAAGTTGACTTGCAAGTTGATTGAAGCTATTAATTTGAGTGCACATGCTCACATAACCCATGAATGTGGGTGTCGGTGGTACTTACGTGATACGTTGTACAATTGAAACAATCTTAACATGACCAACTGGTTTTGATTTCTAGCAACAACAAAAAAAATTATTCACATGGGATAATACCCCATATAGTGTGTTATATACAATATGAATGTATTTAGTTTCACTTGTTTTTGAAATTGTGACATTGACCAAATTAAAAAAATAAAAACAAAAACAAAAACTTGTTATTAAACCCTGATTTCGTTTCGAAAGGCAAAACCAAGTTAATCTTGTCTAGTAAGACTGCAATCAGTTTAGATGTGAATTCAACAAGAAAGAATGCAGAGAATAGAAGAAGAAGAAGAAGAATAAGAGAAGGAGAAGAAGAGAAGAAGAGAAGAAGAAGAGAGAACACGAAGAGGAGAAAATTTCAGAAAAAAATGTGGGTCATAACATAGGTTGTCGCCCTACTCAACTATTTATATTAATGATTTACAATAAGGTAAAAAACTAGTATTACCGCTACTGCTTACATTTTTCTTTAAACCCCAAAGTTTACTCGTAGTGGAGGGGTGGTCACCGCAAATTTATTCATATGTAATAAAAAACCTCAAAGGGGGGTGATGAAGGGAAATTTGGCCCGACCTCGCGATCGCCCAACACGTGGCAAAGGCAAGCAGCTCGGGACAGTAGAGCRCCCAAAGCGAACATCGGAAGCAAGTCCAAACTCACTACCGAGCCCGAACTCTAGACCGCTGTACTTAGTCCGAGCTCCTTGATTGAGAGCAAGCTCCCTGTTAAG